GTTTGCATTTGAATACCATAGATAACCGTTATATTTTAATCATTTTTTATTGATATTAATTGACACTTTTATAGTAAAAATAATAATTTTTGGGTGGTCTTAGACATGACATAATTTATTTTGGCATAATTTAATAGCTGGATTTTGATGGTTGATATATCAGTCAATTCAACTTGAATGAGATTCAGAAACATAATACATCATTGATAATATTGGTGCAAGACTGCAAATATAACACTTCAACGCCTCTCTTTAAGACTATAAAACAAGGTCACAATCACTCCATTAAATGAACTAAAATTTAGTTATGATTATCGTAAAGCCAAGTACATCCATTACAGCCATCCATCGAAAATATGCTTGATTATCGTTTAGCTTTTATTTATACTTTATGTAAAGGTGCGAAAATGGATTTCTAAATGTGGCAATTTTTGGGGGGGGAGTGCTTCAAAAGTTTCATGTTACAACTTTTGTGAATATGAAATTTAAAAAAAAAATAATTTTAGAACTTGAATTTGCTGTACATATTTTAAAGACAGTTTTTACCTGGTTTTTTAAAACTACTATATTGAATAATGATTTTACCGATATATCTTAGCCTTATCTTAGATTCAGAGCAGAGCTATGAATGTATTGATTTTACAATGGTGTGTGTTTTTTTTATTATTTTTTAGATTCTGAATGGAACGATGGATGTATTGATTTAACAATAATGCTACTAATACATATATTGTTTCAAAAACCGATGAAAAATATTAAAAATCCATTTACAATTTTTTTTATAAGCATTTAAATTTTGTAGTTCAAATATTGACAAAATACGTAAAATTCACGAAAATTTGCAAATTATTTTGAAATAGAAATTCATAAACATTTTTTTTTTAATCTTAAATTTGAAAATGTAATACAATATCCCTCATAAGTTTTTCTACCTTTATCAAAAAAAAAAAAGTGGGTAAGTGGATGTCGCTCTGCTGTACAGTAGGTTACAAGTGGGTCACTGTATAATGGATGCTTTTAAATTTGAATTCAATGATACAATATCATTGTATAAGAAAAACGATTCTGAGCGAAGACGGTATGCCAGTCTAGGTTTAAGACAAATTATATACATATCTATGGTATTAAAAAAAAAATTGACCTATAATAAATTCCAAATTAATCATATTACATTATCACAATATCCATTAGGTACTATTATTACACGTTATACACCAACATCAATAACAAACCCTGATACTATCATAGATATATAATAGTACACTTTAGAAGTTTCAAGTAGGTACCCACGAATAATATTATATAATCACAACAAAATAACTAGGTTTTTTAATATGTAATTTCGTCCAAATTTGAACATAAAATGACTATAAAAATAAACTGTGATTGTATATTTTTTAGATTTTTCGGTAAGAGAATTAACTACTTACGTGGAATCTTGTTTTAAATTTTCAATCCTTAGCTATAAAAACTGAACATTTTATAATTTATTAATTACGATGATTAATAATTTTCGAGATTTTGAAAAATTCTGTCAAAATTCGATGTTTAAATGCTTATAAAAAAAAATTGTGCATATGTATTTTTAATATTTTTCAACTGATATTGTAACAATATGTCAGGAGCCTTGTATTACATTTTTACACTTTTTGGCCCAACAGATAAAACTTTATTGATATTCATAGAAAAAAAAACTAAAAAAATTGAAAAATGAAAATGTCCGTAAACAGCTCAAAAAGAGACAAAATATTTTCAAAATCGTATGGTGTATAGGAAATGCTAATATAAACATTCAGTGAAATTTTCATGTATCTACAGTTATTCGTTTTTGAATTACAACAAAATAAGGAAATCGCTACATGAGAAATCGAGTGAATAACCAATGTTGTAAAAATTTGAATTTCAAACCCTCATAAAAATTTAATTTAACTGTCCGGTAGAGATTTTTTTATTGATACAGGTAGACAAACTTATGAGTAATCTTGTATTACATTTTCAAATCTTAGATTTAAAAGGAAAAATTTTTAAGAATTCTTAACTCAAAATAATTTGCTAATTTTCGTGATTTTTCCATATTTTGTCAATTTTTGAACTTTAAATGCTTATAAAAAAAAATTGTGACTAAAGATTTTTAATATTTTTCATCTGCCTTTGAAACAATATATTAGGAGAATTCTATTAAATTTTCAAGTTTTCGCAACCAACAAATAAAATTTTATTGATATTTCTATAAAAAAAACTAAAAAAAAATGAAAAATGAAAATGTCCCTAAACAGTTCAAAATAAATCAAAATATTTTGAAAATGTTGTCGTGTATAGAAAATGCAAATATAAACAACCAGTGAAAATTTCATGTATCTACGGTCATTTGTTTTAAAGTTACACCAAAAACCAAATTCAATTTTCTGAAAAATCGATTTTGCGTAAAAATTCCCGTTTTTCCTTAATTTTTATGTTGTTTTTCCCGGCGCTTGTGAAAACTACTGGGAAATTTAAATTTTGACCTCCCCAATGCACCAACGATATTCACTTTCCAATCGAACAAGATACTGAAGTCGAAAATCGAAGCATTATTTCGACTACTTATCGTGTACACAGATACAAAAAAAATAAAAAAAAAAAACACTCATCATTGTAAAATCAATACATTCATCGTTTCACTCAGAATCTAAAATGTCTACATGCAAATCAAATTAAATTTTTATGAGCTTTTGAAGTTCATATTTTTACAAGATTGGATTTTCACTCAATTTATCATTTGTTATTTTCTTGTAATTCAAAAACGAATAACTGTAGATACATGAAAATTTCACTGAATTTTCATTTAATCAATTCCTATAATTGAACATTTTCAAAATAATTTAACTCTTTTTGAGCTGTTTATTGTCAGTTTTCAATATTTTTAGTTTTTTTTTCTATGATATTGTAAATAAAATGTTATTGATTAGGTAAAAATGTAATACAAGGCTCCTGAAATACTGTTTCAATAACGGTTTAAAAAGATTAAAAAATACATAGGCAGACATTTTTTTATAAGCATTTAAGGTTGGAATTTTGACAATATGTATCAAATTTAAACTTTAATAATTATTTTGTATTTAAACATTTATAAAATGTTCAAATTTTATAGGTAAGGATTGAAAATTTAAAACAAGGTTCCACGTAAATAGGTTATATTAAATAAATTACTTTATTCACAATAACATCATTAAATATACTTAATAATATCGTAGGCTGACTGACCGTCTTCTCTCAGACATTTTCTCTTTAACACCATCTATTGCAGGAACCCACTTGTAACCTACTATACATCAGAGCGACATCCACATTCCCACATTTTAATAATTAATTATTGCGGATATTATGTATAATATAATTGTATCATGAAACTATATAAATGTTATATAATTATTGTTCAAAATCATTTTTTTTAATTATTTCTATACTTTTGTTTTTAGTTTTGAATAGTTAGTTACTTTTGTCTTTTGTCATTTTTCTAGTAACAGAGTTAACCAAAAGTTTCAAGTATCTAACGATTGGAAATTTTATCTAGTTGGAACTTTCAAAAGGTTATTTTTTGATTTTCTCATTATAGTTTCATAAAACGCGTAAGAAAAAACTACCGTAAAAGGTCGAAGGAATACGAAGGGTTTTATACCCATTTTTAAATAACTAAATGTTTCTCATTTTGCTGAAATTTAAAAAGAAGTAGTAAATGGTTAAATTATAAATTACATTGCAACTGATTGAAGCTGAATATATATGTATATAAATCAATAAAAAAAAATTAATAGAATTCCCGGGTCAAAACTTATATGAAATTGCTATTACTAATTTTAATATTACAATTTTAAACTATTTAATATAAATGAAACCAGAAAACGTTAACCGGTGACATCTAAGAATAGATTTTTATAACCAAACATAGTTTGCAGTGTACAATCATTCAATTAATCTCTTATGAATTGTGTACCTATACATGTATACCATTATACTTTTTTTAAATAGTCTTATAGAATTATCTTTTCATTATTATTTATGTATCAGTATATTGTATTGACCATTTTTGCTGCAAATTGTTATAGGTATGTTCGAAAACTTAATTCCACGATAATTTACAGTAATTAGTACTAATTACTATAAAATATGTTAATTTACAAATCGTCGTTGACGGGAACAAACCTCCTATGTGAAAAAAGTGTAGTTTTCAGGAAACACTAAAAACTATTTTAAAAAATAACTTTATAAAATAGAATATAGGAATAATTTATTTTAACTAGTAATTTCTATAGTGAATATTTATTTGTTTTTGTTTTTCAACTGAATCTTATAAATTATTTAATAACTTTATATTAAACATAACTTTTGCACATAGGAGATTTCGGAATAAAATATTTTTTTTAAATGGCACACATAGGATGATTATTTTTCATTGAACTTTATTATTCTTCAAAAAAAAAAACAAAGTACTACAGAATAATAATATGATTTAATACTTATTGGTTTTATGCATTCAACAAATAAATAGAATTTATAAAATAAAAACTTAATAGATAAAAAATGATAAACTTAAATTTCATTATAGAATAAAAAATTATCATAGTACATTACATAAATAAATAATAAATAATTAAATACTTAATTTAAACATTTTAACAAAATATATAATAAAAATAAACCTTAATAGAATCACAGTATAATACACATTACACAGTCTTTATGTTCTTTAACTAGTTTAAATATTTCAATAAAATATAATATAGTAAAAATATACTTAAATAATAACACAGTACCTACATTGCACATTACACTGTCTTTGTGTTTCCTTAATTTATTATGCATGTATTATAGTAAATCAGTAGTAAAATATTTAAAAATTCAAATTTAATTTTAGATTATAAAAATATGAATAATAAAACAAATTTTTAAAAGTAAAGCAGTCTATAGTATCATGGTTGTCAAAATTATAAATATTTAATATATCTGTGGTTTTTGTTAAACTAAATTGTTTTTTTCTTCTTCTGGTCATTTGTATGCGGTAAGTTGTCATAAAATGGATAGTGATCTTTTTCTATAATTGGTTTTAATGATTGTAAATCATCATACTTTCCTTTAGTTATAGGTAATGGACTATTATATAAAGGTATAAGCTCACTAGAGTTTGAGTTTGATCTTGATACACGATTACAGTTTGATATCTCAGCTAAACATTCCCAATCATTAGCATTTCCACAGTTATCTGTGAAGTCAGTCTTGAAAAATATATTCCCATTTGAACAATACAAAATTCTGCATATGTCTGTAACGACCCTGTCACCTACTTTTTTACCAGGACGTAAGGAATTCAGTGTGCATGTTTTATCATAGTTAAAAAAAAAATCAAAATTTAGTACTTTAATATTATATGGTTGTTTTGGTCTGGCAAGTCTCATTCTAGCAATATAATCTGAAGGAGAATAAATTGGAGGTTTAAAAATCTTCTCTAATGTTGAGTGAACACTATCCGCCTCCATCATTGTATGCCCTTTAGTTAAATATAATTGCTCTATGATTATATTTTTTTTTTTAGCAACCATACTAAGAGCTGAAGCCAAAGTTTTATTTCGATTTTGATAATTGCAGCCATCAGATATTAAGGTTACTTCATTGACTTCAGTAGATAAATTGGATATGTAATCTATAATACAAGATGTAAATTCATTTGCTGTTACATGTCCATTGCTTTCATGCCATACATAAAGAGTAACATCATGATCATGTAATCTATAAATAGTGAAATTGTGTACTTGCAATTTTTGTTTATAGTACATTGCTGATGCATTAGTAAGTGGGCATAAAAGTACACTTTCCAAGTCCATTGTAATAACAATTTTGGTATTACTAGCCAAACTTTTTTGACGGTTTTTTTCTTCTCGAGCTAAAGTTTTCCTTTCTAAATGAGCATTATACTCATTTTCCTCAATAGTACCATGTTTGTGACCACAGCAAACATCACACTGGTCTTTCCTTGGTTTATGAATTGATATTTTTTCTGATTTTAATGTATTTAGAAATAAAGTTTTTGAAGCTGATAAAAACCCCTGTTCAATAATCCAAGCACTGTATACTCTAAACATATCTGACAGTGAAAAAAAAGTTGACTCTACATATATTTTGGAGGTTGATTTCCTACAATAGTGGCTAGGAACCTTAGGCAATAATTCAATCCATTCCTTAATTTTGATTACCATCTCTTTCTTTTTAATTTTTCTAGGTGCTGTTAATAGTTCAGAATTGTTATTAGTTGTACCTTGAGAATTATTTGTTTTACTATCAGGTAACTCATCAGCTTCTGTTTCCGAATCAGTTACAAGTTCATATGATTTTGTCCAACGTTTAAAGCTGTTTTCACCCAGACAAAGTGTACTTAAAAAAAAATGTCTGCAGACTTTTCTTTTTTCTGTACCCAAAGGTAATGCAATATTTTTACTCTCCTTTTTTTTTAGTATCTTATTCTTTTTTAATTTTCTTCTTCTTACAATTTCTCTTGTCTGCACTAGACCTCTGACATAACCTTTTTTTTCGTCCCAAGTCTTAAATGACCAGAACTGTTTGAATAAACGCTTTCTGTCCTCTTCAGAAAAAAGTCCACACATAAAAGTGTTTTTTGTTTTTTGAACTTTTTCAGAATGTTTGCACCTAGGTTTTATTTCTCGACTATCAATTACACACTTTTTAGTTAGATTTCCATCAACTAATTTATAACTAATATAAGATGTTCCAGCAACTCTATTTTTTGTTTGTAGTTTTTTAGAACTACGAGAAAATTGCTTCAAATTGTCATTATTACCTTCCAATTGTACATTATTCAAAAGAATATCAGAAATATTATTTGGTTCAAATACATTGCTGTCATTATTTATGACAATCTCATCAAAAGTGTCAGGAAAAGCATTTGGTTCAATAACTATATTCTCTTCATTTAAACTAACCTCTTTTAAAAAACTATTACAATCATTGGTAATGGTTCCTTCAAATACAATATCAAAATCGTTAATGTTAACACCGTTTAGATTATCTTTGTTTAAATTTACATCTGATCTAATTTGATTAATAGCATTTAAATCAATTTCAACGTTGTCATCATTTACCGTCCAGTTTTCTAAATAGCTTTCATTAGTATTTAATACTTCATTACTTACAGTAGGTTTTGTTTTGAATTTTGTTAATGGCATATAATTTTTGTTAGCTAAAGCTAACAACTTATGACTTCGTTTCATGATCTAAAAAAATATTATATCAACATTTAATAATGATGAGATCATAATTTTTTTCATGATTGAAGTTAATATTACAAATATTATACAAATATAAAAATATAATAATTATAACGTGTTATTCTAAGCTTAATTATGCATTTTTTTTACTAATTATACAATGAGTTGGTAAACGTAACTTATCAAAGACTACTAATTTAATTCTCATAATAAATTAAACAGTAACCTATTTACCTATATGAAAATAAAGAAGTTTTTGTAGAGGAAATATAAGAAATTATCGATATTTTACTTTGAAATTCTAACCTCTCATTAAAGTCAGTGCTTATTGGACAATTTGATATAATCTGAACATTTAACTAATTAAAAACTGAAAAGTGATAGGTATCTATTCTACATAGTAAATCAATAATTAAAAAAAATATTCAGAATGTTCAATTTGTTAGAACTTTACAACACATTTTAAGTTATAATGAAAATACTTCTTGTGTTATATTATTGATTATTGGTGTGTAAAGATTTTTAATTAACATAGTGGATGGGGCAATCAACTCATGACTTATATTGACACCAAAAGTATGTTAAATTTACCAACCGAGCTAATCCTCTGCAGTCTGTGGGCGTCATTGGAAATAACAATAAAAATAAACTCTGAAAATGATAAATCAGTATTTTTTGTAGTAAATTTTTAATAACGTTTAGAGTTTAAGGCTTTAAAGTTTAAGGATTCGCGCATTAATACAACGTTTCTCATACAAATACTTAAAATATTTAATCATCATTCCTTATTTTTTTGGATGTGACAATTCATTACATTAACTCATTAATCATTACCTTTTATCATAAAATGTTAATGAATGGATTTTAAAAATATTCTTTGTAATATAAATCTTATCAAAGTCGGTTAGGTTACTGGATGGTTATAACCGGAAATGATACACTGTATGTTCAATAATTAACTGTGAACATTTAACGTGATATCCTTTAAAGAAGAAGAAAAAATCAAAGAAGAAGTTAATCATGAACACAATAGTAATTTTATCATAAATAGTTTTACGAATACAACACACTGCATAAATATAATAACATGAAGTATTAGGTTAGGTACCTACTAAACTTTGACGTGTTTTATGAATGCATACCTAAAGTAAATGAAATTGAATGTAAAAAAGGTGGGTAAGTGGATGTCGCTCTGCTGTACAGTAGGTTACAAGTGGGTCACTGTATAATGGATGCTATTAAATTTGAATTCAATGATTCAATATCATTGTATAAGAAAAACGATTCTGAGCGAAAACGGTATATCAGTCTAGGTTTAAGACAAATTATATACATATCTATGGTATTAAAAAAAAAATTGACCTAAAATAAATTCCAAATTAATCATATCACAATATCCATTAGGTACTTATAACACGTTATACACCAACAACAAACCCTGATACTATCATATATATATAATAGTACACTTTAGAAGTTTCAAGTAGGTACCCACGAATAATATTATATAATCACAACAAAATAACTAGGTTTTTTAATATGTAATTTCGTCCAAATTTGAACATAAAATGACTATAAAAGTAAACTGTGATTCTATATTTTTTAGATTTTTCGGTAAGAGAATTAACTACTTACGTGGAATCTTGTTTTAAATTTTCAATCCTTAGCTATAAAAACTGAACATTTTATAATTTATTAATTACGATGATTAATAATTTTCGAGATTTTGAAAAATTCTATCAAAATTCGATGTTAAAATGCTTATAAAAAAAAATTGTGCCTATGTATTTTTAATATTTTTCAACTGATATTGTAACTATATATCAGGAGCCTTGTATTAAATTTTTACACTTTTTGGCCCAACAGATAAAACTTAATTGATATTTATAGAAAAAAAAAAACTAAAAAAATTGAAAACTGAAAATGTCCGTAAACGGCTCAAAAAGTGTCAAAATATTTTCAAAATCGTATGGTGTATAGGAAATGCTAATATAAACATTCAGTGAAATTTTCATGTATCTACAGTTATTCGTTTTTGAATTACAACAAAATAAGGAAATCGCTACATGAGAAATCGAGTGAATAACCAATGTTGTAAAAATTTGAATTTCAAACACTCATAAAAATTTAATTTAACTGTCCGGTAAAGATTTTTTTATTGATACAGGTAGACAAACTTATGAGTAATCTTGTATTACATTTTCAAATCTTAGATTTAAAAGGAAAAATTTTTAAGAATTCTTAACTCAAAATAATTTGCTAATTTTCGTGATTTTTCCATATTTTGTCAATTTTTGAACTTTAAATGCTTATAAAAAAAAATTGTGACTAAGGATTTTTAATATTTTTCATCTGCCTTTGAAACAACATATTAGGAGCTTTCTATTAAATTTTCAAGTTTTCGCAACCAACAAATAAAATTTTATTGATATTTCTAGAAAAAAAACTAAAAAAAAATGAAAAATGAAAATGTCCCTAAACAGTTCAAAATAAATCAAAATATTTTGAAAATGTTGTCGTGTATAGAAAATGCAAATATAAACAACCAGTGAAAATTTCATGTATCTACGGTCATTTGTTTTAAAGTTACACCAAAAACCAAATTCAATTTTCTGAAAAATCGATTTTGCGTAAAAATTCCCGTTTTTCCTTAATTTTTATGTTGTTTTTCCCGGCGCTTGTGAAAACTACTGGGAAATTTAAATTTTGACCTCCCCAATGCACCAACGATATTCACTTTCCAATCGAACAAGATACTGAAGTCGAAAATCGAAGCATTATTTCGACTACTTATCGTGTACACAGATACAAAAAAAATAAAAAAATAAAAAAACACACATCATTGTAAAATCAATACATTCATCGTTTCACTCAGAATCTAATAAATAGGCAGAAAAAATGTCAACATAAAAATAAAAGACAAAAATATATTAAATTAAATTCAAATAGGTCATAAGACTTGATGTATAGCTTATTGTGTAGCTACTTTATATTAAAAATTCAGTCACCAGAACCAGAATAATGAAGCGTATATGATGAGTACTTACTTACGTGCTGTAAAACATAACTTTAAGTTGAACAAATTTTCAATGAATTCTAAGAATATGAAGAAAATGTATAATACTAATATTATAAACCTTAGGTGTTTTAAAAAATCCATACATCTGAATTGAGAAAATAAAAAATATTTCTACTAGAATTTGATTCTATAGAATAGTATAGAATATGAATTATAATCTTTAATAGTTACATAAAAGTAAAAAGAAGTTTAATTTCATAATAAATGTATTAATTATATAAATATATATATATTATTTTAATTTATAAGCAACAAAATACACGTTGCAATTATTGCCACATTTTTGTATTAAACGCATTACTAGTTATTAGTTATTAGTTCATATTCATAATATTTATTTGTAATTATTATTTACTATAACATAAGACGTTCTATGTATATTTTATGTTAGACACTATGCATATATCATCTATTATAAGTGAAGGGGTCAGTGGATAAAGGTGTTAACTAACATTTTTTGTAAAATCGTTATTATTATACAAAATTACTCATCATGACGTATTACATGGGCTATACAAAATATTAGACAAAAATAACTTATATTTATGGAGTTATCGAATGGATAAAGGTGTTATTTATACAATCTGTCGTTCTTGTTTTGTGGATTAAGGTGTTATTGTATTATATCCCCTATTATCATATTACCGGATAATTTCTATTTTAAACTTGGGTGTTAACTACAGTATAGTAGTCTACGGTCCATAAGAAAGTTGACAACCAAACCAAAAACAAAATAAAAATACCATTGCATTTTGTTTACATTGTGCCCTTCGCCAATAATTATTATCGTTGACTTTATTTTATTGTTATGTTGGTTACATTATAATATTATTGTTTAATTTAATTTAAGAAATTGAGGTTATTATAAAAATTATTATTTTATTCGATTGATTCAGTTCTTACATTGTATGTTTCGTTTGCGTTTATCGTTTAAGGTAAAATATATTATAAAACATGACGTCTTCTCGTAGTAAACTACTGGTTGAAAAAGCACTAAAAAATAGTTTAATTCGTGAAGAAAGTGACGACACGTCTTCTAACTGTCGAGCTAAACGTAAAAAGAAAAAGAAAATAAACTACTACAATTTTAGTGATACAGGTTAGTGCTTAGGTACTTCAAATATTTGTATCCTACCATACCTACTTACTATTATTACCTAAATTGTATTTAATTATATTATTTGTTGTTGTTTGGTCTCTTTTACAGACTCTGATTATATAAATAATTATTCAAGTGATGAATATTACTTTCCGGATTCTTTAAAAGAGAAAGACATTGGCTCTCATGATGGTCGGTATATAGTACCTACATTATTTCTCATTATACAATATTAATAAGTTTAATATTTTTATTAGATGAGTTGAACATAAGTCTTGTACCTAATAGTCCAGTGTCTTCAATCACTTACCAACAAGGACCAAATCATACAACTGTACATAAACTACAATCAAATGATTATCAACTTGAAATAGGTAAAAACGATAAGTTGGTACTTAATATAATTTATATATATAAAGGCTATATATATAGCTATATAATATTACATAGTAGGTAAAAAGAAAATATTATAATATTACTATATAGTACCTACCTAATATATAATATAGTTTATTACAAATTATAATAATTTCACCTTTTTTTTTTTACTATCATTACTATTAATATATTTTGTTACTTATTTAGATACTCAATATAAAACTTCTATTGATACAGAAAACTCTTTTATCTATAATATAACAAATTTACTAACTACATCAGAACAAAAAGAAATAAAATTAAGTAATGATGATCCTAACCAGATTATTATAGGTATACATTTGTTGTAATATCAGTAACATTTAAAAATATTCACATTCATATAGATAATACTGATGCTTTTTTCTACAGATCCAAATGTTAATATCATACAAGGGACTCCTCAAG